GGGTCGGGGTGCGGCGGTGCGCGGAGCCGGGCGCAGGGTCCTGGACGCACCCTTGGCGTCCGGGGCCGCACGCTGGGGGCCGGCGCAGCGGGAGGTCCCAGGCGCTGGGGTCTTGGTTCGCAGCTTGCAACTCGGGTGGGATCGCCGAGGCGACCAAGGGCGCGAGCGGGGCCAGCCGCCGCGTCTGGGCGCCTCGGACATCCGAAGCCGCAATGTCGTTGACCAACCCAAGGAATCCACCCCTCCCCCGAGGCTGACTACTTTTCTGGATCCGGCCTTCCAGCTTCCCTCCCCCACCGTGGGTGGTCTCTCAGGGTAGGGGGTTCCTTAAATCCGTGCCCTCCTGATGCGCCCCTTCCGGGAGGCGGCAGGTCCGTTTGGAAGACGGGCACCTGAGGTCCTGGGAAGATGTCAGGGGCTGGAAGGGCTCGTGCTTCGTGGCCTTTGCGGTCGGAGAGTTCTCCGAGTGTTGGGTTGAGGGCTTAGGATACCTGGGGCCTTGGCCTCGCCCAGAGGGAACTCGGGTTCTTGCCTGCCTGGTGCAGCCGCGCTCCTGCTCCCGACCTCCCGGTCGTGTAGGAGATACTTGGTGGTGGCTCGGTGCGACCCTGGTGCTTCCTGGCGCTGCATGTAGTTTGGGGCCTCCCTGCCCTTGGCCGCTTTCTGCCCAGCCCCCTCCTGGCTGTGGCCCCCCAAGGCCATTCTCAGTCCTGCCTGCCTGCCTCTCTGTGTAGGTTGCCAGGGAAGGCGGCAGCCTCTGCATGGGATGTCTGTACAAAGAGTGGCTTTTTGTTTGTGTGACTTGTGTCACCAGTTAGGAAAAACCAAGTCCACTTGTGAAAAGGTCATTTTGGGGGTGAGTAGCAGCATTATTGTTTCAATGACAAATGGTGAGCACAGGCAGGAAATGTATCCTAGGTCAGGTAACATTTGGGTGTCTCCAAACACACTTTTGTCAGGGGTCCTGGGGCTCCAGGATGCCTTTTTCCAGACGTGGCTGTGGAAGAGGCCTTGTTTCAGGATCGCCTTCCTGTATCATATTGCGGAAGGGAAGGGAAAGTAATTGTGGACTGGTTCATCAATAGCTGCTTAACTTCAGTGGCCCTGCCTGTTTCAGTCTAGGGAAGAGCCTTTAAAAGTGGAAAATGATACTGCTCTTGAAGTTATGCCCTGGAATTGAGAATCATGTCCCCAGTTTCCCTCTTCAGCAGGCAGCCGCCCTTCCAAGGCAAGCTGCGGGGCTGACCAGGGCAAGGTGGAGGGCTGGTGAATGAACCAATCCTAGTGCTCCAGCCCAGAGCTGTGTGCTTTAGGAGAAGGGAGGGAATAAGGTTTCATCTGGTCCTCTCCTTTTCCTCACTGTCCTCTGTCATCGTGTTGTCTATTTGTCTCTGATCCCTGGACTCGAGACGAATCTGCATCTGAGATCTTTGCGTCTGGCTGTGGTGTTCGCTTGCAGCAGTGCCCTGAGGTCTGAGCTTGGGCAGTCCCTTGTTTGAGATCTGTCTTTGGAGTTAAATGTCTCAATTGTTTGAAGGGCTGGGGTATGTTAGGTTACCCCAATAGCTTTTCATTTTTCAAACCAAAGCTCCGTTTTTGCCTCGGATTATGAATTGAATTTTATGCTTCCCCTTCCTATCTAATTTAACACATTTTGGCACAAGTGAGCACACATCAGTCCTGGGAAGATTCCCAGCCTGGGAGAATTGCAGTGTTAAGTGTTGGTTGTGGGAGGATGTGTCTCTGGAGATGGTTGCCTGCAGAGAGGATTTCTGTTCACTTTTGTATTTAGATAGATATACAATTCAAACTGCATTCTTGATTTAATCCCAGCTTTGGTTTAAAACTGAACACTGAGCTTCTTGTTCATTACAATGCAGTGGAAAATATTCTGAAGCCAAAAATATTCATTGTTCTTGCAGCTCTAAAAAGCATTTGGAAATGCTTTACTATATTCTTATATGACACTTAAAAGTTTTGATATCTGAATCATTAATAACTACCTAAATTGAGTAAAAAAATACCCAATGTATAATACAATAGTTTAACATTAAAATGACATATGCAAATACTGCTATTTCCATTTATTTTCTTTAAGGCATTCTTTTAAATACTGCTGTGATTTTTCTTCATGTAAAGTGTGGAGGATTTCTAAGTATTATCTGGACTGTGACACTGTAGGGGAAAGACAGCGTATCAGCCTGTCCTCCTTTGTGATGTTGGTGAGATACTTTTTTTGCTTTTGTTTAGGGAAAGCCTTTCCAAGAAAGAGTTAACTTTAAAAAGGTGAAACGTTTTGGAATAGTTGTTGTCTTCATTTGAAACAAAAATATCAATACTTGTGTTTCTTGCTAGGTTATAACTTTCTTGTTGATCCCTGGTGACTGTGCTAAGGGGTGAAATCCTGGCATGGGGGAGGGGACTCTGGGCAGGACCAGGCCAGCATTTCTTGGCATCATCAAAGAACGTATAGTGATGGTATGGGATAAATTCATGTTTTCCATCTTTGAGGAAGAATTGATCAGTGGGTGGGTGATGCTGTCCAGATGGATGAGGATTACCAGATGGGTGGGTGATTACCATACTCAGCCATGCACCCTGTGACGAGCTCTCTTGTCTGCATCCCAAACCACTTCTGGGGTTAAGTTTCCTTGTCTTCCCTCTTGGTGGGGGACATTCTTTGTAAATACAATGCTTTACTGAGTGATATTTATCTGGAAACTTTCTGTCAATATTCTGGGTTCAGATAAGAGACGAATGGCCTTCTCAAAGAGAAGCGTGAGGAACTTGCAGGGCATGCATGCTTCTTGGAAGAGGAACCCTTCAAGCTTTGTAGAGTCTGCTAGGGTGCACACCCCTGTGGGGTGTTTTGTGGAACCCTGACAATACTAAACACAGGACTTCCTGCTGTGGCTGTTGAGTTAACCCAGCCTCAGTTGGCTGGGGGTCTAGAGCCCTGCCCAGGGTCTCTCCTGGTTTCCAGGGTCCCAACACCCGACTGGTGGCCAGCCCTCTGTACCTTGACCACCTGGCAGAGGGGGGCCACACCCTGGAAGTGCAGTGGCAGATGGGAGCCCCTCAGGGGTTAAACCAGGCCCCAGGGCTGGGGGAAAGGCCTGGGTTTGTGTCTGCAGGGCCCCAATGTGCATAGACAGTGTACAGCCCAGTTGTCCCCTCAGGTCCCTGACGGTGGCTAAGGGTGAGGGGTACTAACACAGATGACAAAGACCTGGAGAAATACAACCAGGGCATCAGCAAACCCCGAGGCTCAGAGCACTGCAGGAGGGCTCGCAGTAGGAGAGTAAGATGGGTGGTCACCCCACACCTGGGTCCTGCGGCCCCCGGGGTCTGTAAGAGGCGGGGGCAGCACCAGCACATGCCTCGATTTCCCCACTCTGCTCACCTGGGAAATGAGCTGCTATCCTTATGGTACTTTGCCGGAACCCCGTGCCGGGCATGGGCACTGTTCTAGGGGATCGGGCTTTTAGTGTTAACTTCTAGCCAGGCTGCTAACTGATTTGTTTTCGGCAAATAAACTCTGAGTGCCCAGAGTCACTCAGTGGCTGAGCCACTCTTGGAGCAGCACATTTCTCTCTGAGGTGAGCTACTGGAAAGCCAGCGTTCCGGAAAGCCTGGCCACACAGGCTGTGCCAGGACCGAGCTCCCTCTCCTGTGGGTGCCTTGCACTGAGCAGGCTCGGGAAGTCCTGGGAAGGATGCTCGGCAGTGCTGAGTCAGAGCAGGCTTGGCTCACCCAGCACACCCATCTGTGTCATCCCTGAATTCAGAAGGCACTGGGTCTCCTCCCTCCCTGCTGCCGGATCTGGCTGCCCCTCCCAGAGAGACTTCCTTCACATGTATCAGCATTGTCAGGCCCTGGGCAAAGGGGAGGCCCGAGAAGGGTGTTGTCTCTGAAGATGGCTTGCAGAACCTAGCCCCGTTCTGGTAGGGGGTGACTCAGCGGGTGGCTCGCATCTCATTTC